TTTGCCGATGACACCAAAATAGGCCGTCAAATTCATTCTGACGAGGGACATTCAGCACTCCAGGAAGATTTGATAGATGATGCAGTGGTGGAGAAGTGGCAGAGCAGTTTAATATAGACAAATGCAAAGTTCTAAATGTAGGAAGGCAATAACCATGCCACATATAAACTAAATAATGTAGATCTTAATATACGTGATGCGAAAAAAAGATTTAGGGTTGGTTAGCAGTAATCTGAAACCAAGACAACAGTGCATAAGTAGTCGCAATAAAGCTATAGGAATCCTTGGCATTCATATCAAGAAGCATAAATAATAGGAGTCTCAGGTTGTTCTTCAACTCTATAATCCTTTGGGTAGGCCTCAATAGAGTTATGCTGCACAATTTTGGTCACCGTATTTAAAAGAATGGATAAAATGCTCTGGAAAATTGGTACAAGAGGGATGACAAAGTTGATCCATGTTTATCAGGAAACCTTCCCTATGAGGATAGACTAAGGTCCTGAAACGCACTCTCTAGAAAGACGTAGAATTGGGGGATATGATTGAGGGTATAAATGGAAGACAGGAATAAATAAAAGGGGATGTAAATAGTGTGCTGAAAATGATCTACCTAGACAGGACTCGCAGCAATGTTTTCAAGTTGGAAAAAATCAGATTCAGGAATGGATATAGGAACAGGTACTGGTTTGGTAATAGAGTTGTGGATGAGTGGAACAAACACCCAATACCGTGTATAGAGGCCAAAGAAAACTGTTGTTAGCTTTAAAATAGGTTGGATAAATACATGAGGGAGATGTGGGTGGTGTGATTAGACATGATACTTGTGCTACCAGGTCGGTTGCGTGTTCCTCCCTTAAGCAAATGTAGACCTGACCTGACTAGGTTGGGTGCATTGGCTTAAGCCGGTAGGAGACTTGGACCTGCCTCGCATGGGCCAGTAGGCCTTCTGCAGTGTTCCTTCGTTTTTATGTTCTTATGTTCTTATATGGGGGAGTGAGTTGTAGAGACGCGGGAGTGAGTTGAAGAGATGTGGGAGAGAGTTGTAGGGATATGGGAGCAAATTTCGAGGGTAGAGAGTGAGGGGATGCTTTTGTTGATAGCGAGGCTATTGTTTTTGTCGGTAGATTTGTTGGGTAAAAGGACACATGTGCAGCTAATGAACAATTTATTGCTACTGTGTTTCGCTCTCCAGGAGTTTTATCAAAGCCTTTGACAAAGGTCCTGGAGAGCGAAACGTTGCCGCAATAAAATATCTCATTAGTTTCACACGAGTAATTTAACCAACTTCATGATATCACTAGACGTAATGACAAGAAAACTTACCATTAACTATTTTCTTAATTAGATAAAATAAGTAATATCTTATTTATATGCAAGTGGCATTAATTACATTACTGTCATCCGGAGAGTAAGAGTCAGTAACGCGGGAGTTCCTGGAAAAAAAATAGATTGCATCTACCTATCCATGACACCTTTGTTTCTCACTCATTACTTCTTCCCCTTCATACAGGTATCTTCCTCATCACCTTGCTGGCCGGAGTGAGCCTTGCCACGGAGGTACCCTCCTCCCACCCTCAGGAGACGCAGTACGATTTCATGTCCGCCTTGGAAAAAGGTCGCAATCTCTTCGCCACTCTGGCTACCGTTGGCGGTAATCAGACACTGACCATCTCTGTGGCCTCCCTCACCGCCTTGCTCTTGGTGGGTGTCGTCATCCTGGCTGTCGCCGTAGCTGTTGCTGTTGTCGCTTCCCGAGAAGGAGTAGCAGCCTCCAGTTACGCCCATCCGACGTGAGTATTTGGCAGGCGAGGCGGCTGTTCTGGGGTTTCTGTCTGTTGGGCGACGCTGCTGTGCCGAGTGACGCTGTTGCTGTGCTGTGCAGCCTCTTCCCCTTTCACTTCTCGTCCTTTTCTTCATCTATTCGCCTTCTTTATCACATCCACGCTTCTAAGACCATCATTCATCCAACAAAGCTCCTCTCCACCCATAACAAATGACCGCTGTTATTGCTTTCCATACTTTTGTTGCCCACGTATGCATTATATACCGTATTTTCCGGCATATAAGGCGCACGAGTATATGAGACATATAAGACGATGTTACCAAGCATTTGTAACGTAACGTTAGTAAACAACTGTTAAATCGTAACACAAAACCTACTCTTGACCCTGAACTTGAGCATATAAGGCGCAGGCTAATTTTCCAAGATTTTTTTTGTGAGGGGGAAAAAGTGTGCCTTATATGCCGGAAAACACGGTAATCACTTTGCCGTTTACGCGGATTCGCGACCAATTATCCGGTCGATTTCACTTTTCCATTGAGGCCGCACTTTCTTGTAGCGTAAAACTTAAGACTTTCACTGAGTACAGAGACTCAAGATGTGTGAATGTGATCTCGGTGAATCTTCGCGTCTCTTCTCACTTTCTTTACTGGTCATATTCCCTCATTATGGAAGGCAAGTAGCATTTTTACTTTTTGAGAGACACTTTCAGCAGGAGAGACCTTTTCGAGACAGTGTTTCACCCACCGTTGGGTTTTTACCAGCTACCATCATCTCAACTACCACCATCCCAGCTCCCACCATCCCAAGTACCACTGTTACACCATCCTGGCTACCACCGCCCCACGATCCAAAATACCACTGTCCCACCCTCCAAAATACCACCATAACACCTTCCCAGCTACCACCATCACACTCTCTCACCTACCACCATACCAGCCACCACCATCCCACCCTCCAAAATACCACCGTCACACCCTCCCACCAACCACCATCACACCCTCCCACCAACCACCATCCCAATCACCATCCCAACCACCACCATCCCATCCTCCAAAATACCACCATCACACCCTACTAGCTACCACCATCACATCCTACCAGCTACCACCATCACACCATGACAATACCAACATGCTACTCTGCCACAGCATCGTCATGCCTAAGACCGTCCCTGCTGTCCACAGGGAGTACGAAGGTGCTGTCGAGACCATCCACCGCCTCTACAATGCCGCTGCTGCCAAGTACAAGTACCAGTAGACCCACACCTGTTATCCTACGCACCTGTTATCCTATGCACCTGTTATCCGACACATCCATCCAGACCTTCGCTTAAATGCTGTTCCAGTTTGTTATACAATATTTAAGTTAAATTATCTTACTGAACTGCAAATAAAAGTATAAAATGATTTCGGTGATTTATAAACAAAAGACAAATAGAGATTTGACTGTCCTCTTTTATTTACAAACAATAAACAATGAACTAAGTGAAGAACTGGGCACTTGTTCAACATCAATTTGCACTTGTTCAACAACAATTTGCACTTGTTCAACAACAATTTGCACTTGTTCAACAACAATTTGCACTTGTTCAACAACAATTTGCACTTGTTCAACAACAATTTGCACTTGTTCAACAGCAATTTGCACTTGTTCAACAACAATTTGCACTTGTTCAACAACAATTTGCACTTGTTCAACAACAATTTGCACTTGTTCAACAACAATTTGCACTTGTTCAACATCAATTTGCACTGATAAAGCCACCCAGTGCCTTTATCAGTGCAAATTGAAGGACATTATGTGAAGTCTGAAGAACTAAATTCAAAAGAACAGATAATCAGTAGCCATTTGCCTAACATATTGTCAGTAATTTTACCAACATTATTACGTAATGTAATTACAGGTATAATGTGAGAATGATGTAATCTTGTGAGATTATGGTGATCATAGCTGCATGATACACATCTCTCTACAATCAACACTGCATTTAATATAAAATGCAAGAAAAAAAAGATATCTTATGAGGGTATGTGGGAGATAATGAGGGAAAAGTAATTAGTGGCAATGTAATTAGTTAAGAAATAAGCATGTTTCCTCTCAAGAATGGTCAGAAACAGAAAACTGGGATATATATATATATGCTCTCGTATATGATTACCTTACCTTCATGTGTTAGTGTGTGACTTGTTAATGGTGTAAGTCGAACCGAAACGTCGTTATACGTTTCTGTCTCCTATGTGCCGGTTATTTGGACATTGTTCCATTGGTCAGTTACGGTCATCAGATGAAATTCAGCTGAGTGGTCAGTCTCGTTTTGAACACTGAGACAACTATGTATCTCCAGACACAAGTCTCTGGAGATATACAGTCAGTCCAGGAGACAAGTGTCTTGGACTGACTTACTACTATGGAGAATGAGTGACTGTGCAACACTTCAGCTTTTTCAGTCCAGTGCAGAGAAAAGGGGGAAAATGAGGAGTTTGAGGTATCAGTCCCCTCAGTTTGGGGTCGATGTGTTCTGTCCATTATTCAAGACTGATAAAGCCACTTGAGGGTGAAACGCTACAACGTAAAGATACCCAGATGTTGCACACATATCTAATTCATTATCTTATCGGTATGGTATGCCACTGATAATTATGTAAACTTGTGTAAATACTAAATATTCATGTGTAACACACCACGCACCACCCACCAGGGCAGCAACACTGTGTGCCCACCAGGGCAGCCACACTGTGTGCCCACTAGGGCAGCCACACTGTGCCCACTACGACAGCCACACTGTGTACCCACAAGGGGCAGCCACACCAAACTTGTTAAAAAAGTAAGTAACCGACACACAGGATATCAAGAATGCCACTTAACCCCTATCTTCTACTTTTCGTTTTTGTCAACACCCTGGAGCCTTCTCACATTCTATCAACACTTCAGTCCTCCATACGTCTTGCCGACACCCCAGCCCTCCACACATTTTGTTGGCATCGTCTTTCTTCTATCTTTCTTCTTCCTACTTTTTCTTGAGATCGTTTCCTTAACTTTAGTAGCCACCTTCTTCCCATCTGCATTAACCTTATCCTTCTAATGGTACTTGTGTTCCCACATCAGTAATCTCTTCCCCCATCAGTCTTCTTTAGTGACTTGTCGCTTCGTCGCTTTCTCCCCTCTCCCTCTTCACCCACCTCGTCGAAAAAGACAGAGACTCAACAGCTGACGTAGCATGTTAGTATAAAAACCTCAGCACTGGAGGTGGTCATCAGTTCGTCCATGATCACTCCCAGTAGCACAACACAGCCCTTCCTCCTGCTCCAGCACCACCTCTCACAGCGCCACTGTCGCCACCACATTCTCCAACACCACCAATATGGTGTACAAAGGTACATCCTATCTTGTGATTACTTCAAAACTAAGATTCGATTTTTACACCGATGGGAAAATTTGCTGTGCATCACAACCATGTCGTCGTAATGACAGCACACCAGAATCCAAACATTTCCCACTTCAATAACAATATTAACTTCATCCTTGGCTGCTTCCAGACACAGGTATCACTACCTTAACAGATTAACATTATCTAAATCCCGGGAGAAAGCTTGGTCCGGGACAGGGTCGCGAAGTCGGTTTTCCGCCTCCTGGAATGGTCTTCAGATAACTTTCCTGTAACTTTATATTAGTAATAACTTTTAACTCTCGTAATCTAAGTAGCGTCGTGGGACGCAGCGCTAACTCTCACAGTACGACTGTCTACAGGTAACTTGAAAAAAACCTTGCCTTCTTCAGCAGACAGCTTTAATATAGACTATGTAGTCTATATTACATACTCCTTGAACGGAATAATAATAATAATAACCACACCGTCCCTTCAGACAGGTATCTTCATCGCCCTGCTGGTCAGAGTGAGCCTGGCGGCGGTGTCCTTTCAACACCCTAAGGAGACGGGACACACCCTAGTTTCGCACCATCCTCATGAAAAGAGCCGATTCTTGATCTTCCTGGGTGGAGACTACACAGTGACCATAGGAGTGGCCTCCATCATCTCTGCTGTGCTGACGAGACTTGTATCATGGCTCGCCACACTCGCCATCTCTCACTTCATTTCCAGAGACGGTGCCCCTAGTCGCAAACCCCCAGCGTGAGTATTGGGCAGTGAGTACCATTGTGTTGAGTGAGGCTAGTGTGTTAAGTGATGTCGTTATGTTGAGTGGCGCTAGTGTGAGTGACGCCGCTGTGTTGAGTGGCGCTAGTGTGCTAAGTGACGCCGCTGTGTTGAGTGGCGCTACTGTGGTGTTTTCTCTTACAACTTGCCTTCACGCTTTCTTCTGATGTAATTCATGGCTCCTCAATAATGGCGTGAAGGTGATCGCACTGAAATTTTTCCCTATGGGCGTCTCTTCTTACTTTCTCTTCTGCTCATGTTCTGGTAGCACGCCACACCTTCCCAGCTACCACCACCATCACACCACCACAGACACCAGTACCACACTATATAAAATACCCCAATGGCACCATATCACCCTTCCAGGAAGTCACTCTGATATACCATCGATTTAGAGTTAGATTTTGCCACAAAAGCAACTACTTTGTGTACCCCATCTTGTGGAGGGCAGCGCAGGAGCATAGAGATACACATAAGGCCTTAGGGACAAGGCCCTGTATATATAATATATATATATATATATATATATATATATATATATATATATATATATATATATATATATATATATATATAATATATATATATATATATATATATATATATATATATATATATATATATATATATATATATATATATATATATATATATATATATATATATATATATATATATATATATATATAATATATATATATATATATATATATGCCAAATGTTCCATACCATGTCTAAAGCCACTGTTTTGTTCGTCAGGAAACACAGCTCCAGCAACACCGTCCACCGCCTCCACCAGACCCCAGCTGCTGCTGCCAACTACTAGTACAACAGCATATCAGGCACTCCTGTTTTAAGACACTCCTGTTATATGGCACTCCTGTTATATGGCACTCCTGTTATATGGCACTCCTGTTATATGGCACTCCTGTTATTTTACATCCCTTTTACCATACTTACCTGTTATCCAACACATCTGTTGTTCAACACACCTGTTGTTCAACACACCTGTTGTTCAATACACCTGTTGTTCAACACACCTGTTGTTAAATACACCTGTTGTTAAATACACCTGTCGTTCAACACACCTGTTGCTAAATACACCTGTTGTTCAACACACCTATTGTTCAACACATCTGTTGTTCAATACACCTGTTGTTCAAGACACCTGTTGTTCAACACACATGTTGTTCAACTCATCTATTGTTCAACACACCTGTTGTCCAACACACTTGTTGTTCAACACACCTGTTGTTCATTACACCTGTTGTCCAACACACTTGTTGTCCAACACGCTTGTTGTTCAACACACCTATTGTTCAACACACCTGTTGTCCAACACACCTGTTGTTCAAGACACCTGTTGTTCAACACACCTGTTGTCCAACACACCTGTTGTTCAAGACACCTGTTGTTCAACACACCTGTTGTTCAATACACCTGTTGTTCAAAACACCTGTTGTTCAACACACCTGTTGTTCAACGCACCTGTTGTTCAACACACCTGTTGTTAAATACACCTGTTGTTCAACACACCTGTTCAAGACACCTGTTGTTCAATACACCTGTTGTTCAACACACTTGTTGTTCAACACACCTGTTGTTCAATACACCTGTTGTTCAACGCACCTGTTGTTCAACACACCTGTTGTTCAACATACCTGTTGTTCAAGACACCTGTTGTTAAATACACCTGTTGTTCAACACACCTGTTCAAGACACCTGTTGTTCAATACACCTGTTGTTCAACACACTTGTTGTTCAACACACCTGTTGTTCAATACACCTGTTGTTCAACGCACCTGTTGTTCAACACACCTGTTGTTCAACATACCTGTTGTTCAACACACCTGTTGTTCAACTCACCTGTTGTTCAACACACCCATTGTTCAACACACCTGTTGTTCAAGACACCTGTTCAAGACACCTGTTGTTCAAGACACCTGTTGTTCAACACACCTGTTGTTCATCACACCTATTGTTCAACACACCTGTTGTTCATCACACCTGTTGTTCATCACACCTGTTGTTCATCACACCTGTTGTTCATCACACCTGTTGTTCATCACACCTATTGTTCAACACACCTGTTGTTCATCACACCTGTTGTTCATCACACCTGTTGTTCATCACACCTGTTGTTCAACACACCTGTTGTTCAACACACCTGTTGTTCAACACACCTGTTGTTCAACACACCTGTTGTTCAACACACCTGTTGTTCAACACACCTGTTGTTCAACACACCTGTTGTTCAACACACCTGTTGTTCAACACACCTGTTGTTCAACACACCTGTTGTTCAACACACCTGTTGTTCAACACACCTGTTGTTCAACACACCTGTTGTTCAACACACCTGTTGTTCAACACACCTGTTGTTCAACACACCTGTTGTTCAACACACCTGTTGTTCAACACACCTGTTGTTCAACACACCTGTTGTTCAACACACCTGTTGTTCAACACACCTGTTGTTCAACACACCTGTTGTTCAACACACCTGTTGTTCATCCTCGCTTAATTTATTATTTCAATCAACCTTTATATATATTATTTATATTATATTTTTATACTTTATTGACAATAAAACGATAAATATTTTCACTATTTTTTTTTTATTCGCCGGTATTCTCCCGGCCCGGGTCTTTTCCAAGTAGCGGTGACCCGGCCTTGGCTCCCTATCTGGGGAGTGTCTCCAGACTTAAGTCTCCCATGGGAGGAGGTACAAGTACCTCCTCATCTTTGGGACCAAGTGTCCCCAGGCCTAGCCACATTCCCCGCCCTCACGGAGCTCGTAGGGAGAAGCTAGGCCTCTCTGGTCTGCCATCTGCCCCGCCTCAAAGGGGCTCGTGGGGATGGCAGTCTTGTGAGCTGCAGATGGTAGTATGTCCCCGGAATACATATATATATTTTCACTTGTTTTTAGAACAAGAAACAAATAAAGAACAAATAAAAGAACAAACTAATAAAAGAACAAATAAAAGAAACAAATAAAGAACAAACTTTTTTTGTAGTATGGAAAAACAAAGAAAAACTTTCCTGGTTTTAAAACAAGAAACAAATAAAGAAACATTTCTCTTTGTTTACAGACTAAACAAAGAAAAACTTCACTTGTTTTATAAACAAGAAACAAAGACATCTTCACTTATTCTGTAAACAAGTACGAGAGGGAGGGAAGAAGGGAGGGAGGGAAGAAGGGAGGGAGGGAAGAAGGGAGGGAGGGAATCATGAAGGGAGGGAGGGAAGAAGGGAGGGAGGGAAGAAGGGAGGGAGGGAAGAAGGGAGGGAGGGAATCATGAAGGGAGAGATAGAATTGTGGAAGGGGATGCATCAGTAGTGCTGCTACAATATTCTGTATGACAGTTACACAGTGGGAAGACAAGTTACCTGTGTTCCCTTATTCCGTCACGTAGATGGTGCTTATACAAGGTGTTGAGTAGTGTCAGTCTGAACTGGGAGACTTGAATAGTGTCAGTCTGTGTTCGGAGACTTGAGTAGTGTCAGTCTGTGCTGGGAGACTTCAGTAGTGTCAGTCTGAACTGGGTGACTTCAGTAGTATCAGTCTGAGCTGGGAGACTTCAGTAGTGTCAATCTGAGCTGGGAGACTTGAGTAGTGTCAGTCTGAGCTGGGAGACTTGAGTAGTGTCAGTCTGTGCTGGGAGACTTGAGTAGTGTCAGTCTGAGCTGGGAGACTTCAGTAGTGTCAGTCTGTGCTGGGAGACTTCAGTAGTGTCAATCTGAGCTGGGAGACTTGAGTAGTGTCAGTCTGAGCTGGGAGACTTGAGTAGTGTCAGTCTGAGCTGGGAGACTTGAGTAGTGTCAGTCTGTGCTGGGAGACTTGAGTAGTGTCAGTCTGAGCTGGGAGACTTGAGTAGTGTCAGTCTGTGCTGGGAGACTTGAGTAGTGTCAGTCTGAGCTGGGAGACTTCAGTAGTGTCAATCTGAGCTGGGAGACTTCAGTAGTGTCAATCTGAGCTGGGAGACTTGAGTAGTGTCAGTCTGAGCTGGGAGACTTGAGTAGTGTCAGTCTGTGCTGGGAGACTTGAGTAGTGTCAGTCTGAGCTGGGAGACTTCAGTAGTGTCAGTCTGTGCTGGGAGACTTCAGTAGTGTCAATCTGAGCTGGGAGACTTGAGTAGTGTCAGTCTGTGCTGGGAGACTTCAGTAGTGTCAGTCTGTGCTGGGAGACTTGAGTAGTGTCAGTCTGTGCTGGGAGACTTGAGTAGTGTCAGTCTGTGCTGGGAGACTTCAGTAGTGTCAATCTGAGCTGGGAGACTTCAGTAGTGTCAATCTGAGCTGGGAGACTTCAGTAGTGTCAATCTGAGCTGGGAGACTTCAGTAGTGTCAATCTGAGCTGGGAGACTTGAGTAGTGTCAGTCTGTGCTGGGAGACTTGAGTAGTGTCAGTCTGTGCTGGGAGACTTGAGTAGTGTCAGTCTGTGCTGGGAGACTTGAGTACTATCAGTCTGAGCTGGGTGACTTCAGTAGTGTCAGTCTGTGCTGGGAGACTTGAGTAGTGTCAGTCTGTGCTGGGAGACTTGAGTAGTGTCAGTCTGTGCTGGGAGACTTGAGTAGTGTCAGTCTGTGCTGGAGACTTGAGTAGTGTCAGTCTGTGCTGGGAGACTTGAGTAGTGTCAGTCTGTGCTGGGAGACTTGAGTAGTATCAGTCTGAGCTGGGAGACTTGAGTAGTGTCAGTCTGTGCTGGGAGACTTCAGTAGTGTCAGTCTGTGCTGGGAGACTTGAGTAGTGTCAGTCTGTTCTAGGAGACTTCAGTAGTATCAGTCTTAGCTGGGTGACTTCAGTAGTGTCAATCTGAGCTGGGAGACTTCAGTAGTCTACGTCAATCTGAGCTGGGAGACTTGAGTAGTGTCAGTCTGTGCTGGGAGACTTGAGTAGTGTCAGTCTGTGCTGGGAGACTTCAGTAGTGTCAATCTGAGCTGGGAGACTTCAGTAGTGTCAATCTGAGCTGGGAGACTTGAGTAGTGTCAATCTGAGCTGGGAGACTTGAGTAGTGTCAGTCTGTGCTGGGAGACTTGAGTAGTGTCAGTCTGTGCTGGGAGACTTGAGTAGTGTCAGTCTGGTGCTGGGAGACTTCAGTAGTGTCCAATCTGAGCGGGAGACTTCAGTAGTGTCAATCTGAGCTGGGGGACTTCAGTAGTGTCAATCTGAGCTGGGAGACTTCAGTAGTGTCAATCTGAGCTGGGAAACTTGAGTAGTGTCAGTCTGTGCTGGGAGACTTGAGTAGTGTCAGTCTGTGCTGGGAGACTTGAGTAGTGTCAGTCTGTGCTGGGAGACTTGAGTAGTGTCAGTCTGTGCTGGGAGACTTGAGTAGTGTCAGTCTGTGCTGGGAGACTTGAGTAGTGTCAGTCTGTGCTGGGAGACTTCAGTAGTGTCAATCTGAGCTGGGAGACTTCAGTAGTGTCAATCTGAGCTGGGAGACTTGAGTAGTGTCAGTCTGTGCTGGGAGACTTGATAGTGTCAGTCTGTGCTGGGAGACTTGAGTAGTGTCAGTCTGTGCTGGGAGACTTGAGTAGTGTCAGTCTGTGCTGGGAGACTTGAGTAGTGTCAGTCTGTGCTGGGAGACTTGAGTAGTGTCAGCTGTGCTGGGAGACTTCAGTAGTGTCAATCTGAGCTGGGAGACTTCAGTAGTGTCAATCTGAGCTGGGAGACTTGAGTAGTGTCAGTCTGAGCTGGGAGACTTGAGTAGTGTCAGTCTGTGGCTGGGAGACTTGAGTAGTGTCAGTCTGAGCTGGGAGACTTCAGTAGTGTCAGTCTGTGCTGGGAGACTTCAGTAGTGTCAATCTGAGCTGGGAGACTTGAGTAGTGTCAGTCTGTGCTGGGAGACTTCAGTAGTGTCAGTCTGTGCTGGGAGACTTGAGTATTGTCAGTCTGTGCTGGGAGACTTGAGTAGTGTCAGTCTGTGCTGGGAGACTTCAGTAGTGTCAATCTGAGCTGGGAGACTTCAGTAGTGTCAATCTGAGCTGGGAGACTTCAGTAGTGTGAATCTGAGCTGGGAGACTTCAGTAGTGTCAATCTGAGCTGGGAGACTTGAGTAGTGTCAGTCTGTGCTGGGAGACTTGAGTAGTGTCAGTCTGTGCTGGGAGACTTGGGTAGTATCAGTCTGAGCTGGGTGACTTCAGTAGTGTCAGTCTGTGCTGGGAGACTTCGGTAGTGTCAGTCTGTGCTGGGAGACTTGAGTAGTGTCAGTCTGTGCTGGGAGACTTGAGTAGTGTCAGTCTGTGCTGGGAGACTTGAGTAGTGTCAGTCTGTGCTGGGAGACTTGAGTAGTGTCAGTCTGTGCTGGGAGACTTGAGTAGTGTCAGTCTGTGCTGGGAGACTTGAGTAGTATCAGTCTGAGCTGGGTGACTTCAGTAGTGTCAGTCTGTGCTGGGAGACTTCGGTAGTGTCAGTCTGTGATGGGAGACTTGAGTAGTGTCAGTCTGTGCTGGGAGACTTGAGTAGTGTCAGTCTGTGCTGGGAGACTTGAGTAGTGTCAATCTGTGCTGGGAGACTTGAGTAGTGTCAGTCTGTGCTGGGAGACTTGAGTAGTGTCAGTCTGTGCTGGGA